CACGACCAGTCATTCTTCTGGAAGACCGCAGCCCAAGAATCCCTGATGACTTGGAAGGACAAGGGACCACTAAACTGCCTAGTCTGAGTCAACCAGATCTCCTTCGAGTACCTGACGAGAGGGGCGATGCAGACCCTCCATGGCGGATCGCCTTCCAGGGGGGGAAATGACCGCGAGAGACCGATGCTGCGAACGAGGCGCGATAGTAGACATCCCTTGGGACGGAACAAGTGCAATTCGGAATCGCCCACTCCGTAGACCTCAGCCCCATAGGACCCACTGGCCATAGGCCCCGAGGTAATGACGCGAAGCGCTTTTCTCCCAAGAGTGCCTTTGCGTTTGCACAGCCATCGAGTTCTCCTACGATTCAGGGCCATGCGTTCCCTGAATTTGCTGATCCTGCCTTTTCCCGCTCCTCTGGCACGGAGGGCTCGGCCTGCCGTGTAGTCAACGCCTGAGTTGACCACCGAGGGCGAGGCAACTCCAGCTAAGGCGTCCAGCTGCTCCTCAAGCTGTCGTGCAGCACCTCGGTGGCTACAGACTAAACCAATCTTATCCATGGCCAGCGAACAGCCAAGCTCCTCAGCGATGGCTTGGTGGAGCACCACGGCGCTCTCCACGAGCGAGGAAACGACGAAGGAGGGGGGTGCCCGCGCACGAGAGCCCAGCGTCGTCCACGTAGGCATCAAAGTCAGTGGGCACAGACGGAGGGATCTCGTCAAAAGCGGGCATCGCAAACACACGAATGAAACTGGTGGCCGTAGAGCACCCAGCCACCAGCACGGCCCTTCAATAATGCCTCCAAGTGACAGTATCGAACAGGCCTGGAAGCTTCGAGGCAGATCCTGACAGTTCAGCGTGGCAAGTTGTGGGTTTCGCACTGGCGCTCGAGGTAGTTAAGCGAGATGCATTCGCCATGCTTTTTTATGTCCCAGAAAAGGGAGGCTGAAACTTGTCGGCGGGCCACCCCAGCTTCGGCTTTGAAGGCCTGCCTCCACGCCGCATCAGCAGCGCCCCATGTGGGCCCCCGCCGCCCAGTAGGCCCTCGGGTGGTCACACACCCGCGGGGGCGCCGAAGGGCGACGGGCCCGCCCCCAGAGGCGGCGCCAAGAAACGAAGACCCCGATGGGCCGGAAGCCCCCGTGGGGCTTGCCGAGGAGGGCCAACCGCGCAACAGCCACTTGCCGGGGAAGCCTGCCAACAGATTCAGCCAACCACACGGTGCTAGCCAGAGCCTCGAGCGCGAGGTCATTGAGAAGGCTGCAATGCCGAAGGTGGAAGCCGTCCACCGAAATGGCGCTCGAGGTCCTGTAAGATTTGCTGGTCTGGCGAAGCTCATCAGGAGACAACTGCGGGGGGGGCCTCTAAAATTGCAACGGGTCCGACTCGGGCCCAGCGCCCTTGCCCCAGAAAGCTCCATGCTTAATCCTTTTTGTCTGCAACAAGGCACGGGGGTCAGCGGGAATCCAGCCGCGGCAATTGAGGGTGGTGGAAGCTTTCCAGGGCGACGGGTCTTTAAGGCCACGATGAGCTCTCTTGCCTCCTTGATCAAGCCCTTATTGCGGCCGCGCCTTCCACGAGGAACGGCTGGCTGCAATCGCAGTCGACTTGGCTTTAGCAAGCGCGGGGGAGAGGTCGTCGGACAGAAAATCATCGCAAGCGGCTCTCACCTGACCGGCGTCCCCGAGCTGCTGGGCCGAGGGAGCTAAGCTGGCGGCAATGCGAAAGAGGGCAGCATGTGCTTGATCAGCAGAGCTCGCCATGCCAGGCGGGCTGCTCAGAGAGGAGCAAGATCCTTGCACCTTGCCTCCAGCAACTTCGTGAAGCGAGCTGCGGGGGCACGGGCCTGATCTTCAAGCCAGCGGAGGCCACGCATAGCTGGATCCTGTGAACTCTTGTGTTTCGATGACACGATCGCGAGTGCCGTGAATGGGCAGCTCACAACCCAAGACTCGTTCCATGTCCAGCTCGGCTTGGTCAGCCCACATCTGGTAGAGACTGGCCAGCATGGCGCAAGCCCCATCCCCGCTCCCGTCCCTGACTTTTTTTCTGAGCCTCCCTGGCCACATCCATCGCCTTATGCCAATCCCCATCGCGAAGCTGAGGGCTGGGCCCCACCTGAGGGGGCGCGGGCAGCGGCGGCGGCTTCCGAAAGGCTGAGGCCATAAGGTGCAGGAGTTGGGGGTGAAAAGGAAAGGCGCGCTGTCTTGTGTGGGTGCAGCGGGGCGCTGTGCACAGCGTCGGTGCTGCGGATGGCTTTCCCCAGGCTCCCCGAGGCAACAAAGAAATCGAACGCATCAGGAACACCGGCGGAGGGGAAGTGGGTAGCCCCTTCGGTGTGAACCAGATGGCTCTTCAGCTTATTCGCAAACCCCAATTGGTGAAGGACCGAAGGGTTGAAATTAAAGTCACCTGCCAGAACGAACTCACACTCAAGGTTCGGGAGAAAGGTGGCGAGAGGATCTTGGAATTGCCGACGCTGAGACCCACGGAGTGCTCGAGGTAGGGCGAGGCCAGGCAGATGGCTGGCGCGCACGGCGCGTGCACCATGCATGCAAGGGCCCGACCTTTAGCAATATCTCTGCCGCCATCGACTTCAGACAGTCCTAGCCAATCGCGTGCCAGAACCAAACCTCCCGAAGCGTCTCCTCCTTGAGGCCCTTCAACCCTAGCAAGCCACAGCGATTTCCAGCCCTGACGCAACAAGGTGGTAGAGGCCTCCCCTATCAACTCAGGGTCTCTCAAACGGTGTTCTTGAACAGTGAGAATGCGAGCGTCGATGTCTCCATCCAGAACGGCCAAGAGAGCACCCCCATTATTTAATACTAATGGGCCAGACGGTGGGGGACACCGATTCCGAGCGCTCCAGCAAAACGCGCGGCAAGGAATACATCTCAGGCTCTAGAACGTGTCGGGGCGGCTCGTGCGGCGCAGGTTTGGGCTGGATGAACTGTGGGAACAAGAACGGGCATCGGGACTTGGCCCGCTTGCCCGCTGCTGCCGTGCAGCGAGAGTGGAGGGGTGGCCTATCGCCCTCCATCCATTCACCCAGCTCGAGTATCAGCGGATCGGCTCCAGCTTCAAATATAATATTCTGCCAGAGAAGGGCAAGCCCCTCGAGGCTGAGGGATGAAGCGGGGCCCCCTTCACAGCGTTCTGACGAATTCATGTCGGAAAGGAATCCAGCGCAAGGTGGCGGGGGTGCAACGCTGAGATCGAAAACGAGCTGGAAATCTAGCCCCCCCAGCCAGCTCGTCTGCTAGAGGAGGCACACTGGAACAGAGTTGTCCGGAAACTCTTGCCCCAGCCAACTCGCCCACCGAGGAAGGGGGCAGGAAGGAGAAAGACAAAGAAAAACTACACCTGAGGAGAGGCGGGCCCAGAGGACTCAGACCCCGACGCCCGCCTTGTGCCTGCCCACGAAGCGCGCGTCGGTCTCCTCCTGGAAGAGCAGCTGACCTGCGTTTTAGGGCCCCCTTTCGCACCGCCGCTGCCGCAGTGGATGAGGGCCTCGCCCGACATGGCTTCGTCGACGCGCCGGCGAATGTCGAGCTCGGCGGCCCGAGGAGGATCGGATCCAGCAACCTGCTCATTGGCGGCGGGCGCAGCAGGAGCTCCTCCGCTGCTTGCAGCGCCCCCGCAACTGGGCGCTGCCGCGCCTCCGCCTGCCGCGGCGCCATCGTCCGTCTTCCGCTTCTTGGCGAGCCGAGACTTGTGCTTCTCGTGGTCTTCCTTTGGCCTTGCGAGACGCGTCCGGCGCGCCTTTGAAGAGATCGTATGCCAATTTCTGTATGGCAGACGACATCGTGGACTTCCTCGCTTCCAACTCCTTTGGCATCCTCGTCAGGGAACTCGACCTCCTCCACGTCGCGCGGGACGTCCAGCAATGAACCCAGACTGAAGACGGTCGCAAAATCCACCTTGCCATCGACAAAATCTGCGATGTCCACCTGCGCAGGCGGGGCGGTCTCAGACTTGGGCAGCGCCGAAGCTGCTGGCTGCTGTGCACACTCCTGGTATTGCTTGTCGGCGGCCTCGAGCTCCTCGCGGCAAGACAGGGCCAGGGACTTCTGCTCCTCCAGCTCAGCTCGCCAGCGCGTGAGCTTGGCAAACTCCTGTTCCAGGCGCCGTTCCTCCGAACATCGGCGGCCAGCTGCTGCGAGCGCTGGTTTAGAGGCACCGCGGTCTTGGGCGCCGCCAACGACTTGGCCACCTGATCGTAGTGATTGGCGGCAGCACTGCCCCCAGCCTTGCGCGAGAGCTCAGACATTGTGCGGGCCCCTTGCTCGGTGATGTCAGGCGCAGGTCCTGCGGGCAGAGGGGGCCGCGGGTCGCCGCCGCCGCCCACTGGAGCCATGGGGGATGATTTGCCCTGGCCTCCGCCAGACCGCTTGCCCTTGCCCAGGCTTGCTGGTTTAGCCCAAACGCCTCGCGGAACGGGAGGCTCGGAAACAGGGACATCGACGAGCGTACAATTGCAGTATTTGCACCACTTGAAGTGCATGAGATTCTTCCGACGTCCACATACTCAGCACGGAACTGGAGAGAATCTACTTCCGCGACCACGTCCTTTGGTGAACCAGTCCCCTTTCTCCTGAGAGCTATCCTCGAGCGGCGCCCAAGGCTGGCGAGAGAAAGAAGGAGCAGGAACCATCGGGCCTGGCAGGGAACGCAGCGCGCACGGAACGTTTTGCTGGATAGTGTGCCTGGCGGGCGAACGCCATGAAACAAGGTGGGCAGACACCTGAAAGCAGTGGGGGCCGCACCCCCCCCTCACCGAGGCGCAAATCCTGAGCAAATGCCTCCGGACTTGAGCCAAAATGGCTACGGAGCCTCCTCCTCCTCCTCCTCCTCCTTTCCCTCGTCTCCTCCTCCTCCTCCTCCTCCTTTTCCTCCTCCTCCTCCTCCTCGTCCTCCTCTCCCTCCTCCCCCTCCTCCTCCTCCTCTTCCTCCTCCTCCTCCTTTTCAGATAGGCCAATTTGGGTCAGCTTTGGCCGTAGCGTTCGTCGTCGTCGACCTCCTCCTCCTCGCCACTGCCCCTTCCAGGGCCATGCAGTGGCCCTCCCCCCTGTGCGCTGGCGGCCTTTGGGGCAGCCCCAAGGGCGCGCGTGCGGCACACGCCGATCAGATGTCGGGTGCCGCCGTCGTGGGCGAGGCCGAGGAGCGTCGCCGCCGTCGTCGTCGCCGTCGCCGTCGCCGTCGCCGTCGCCGTCGCCGTCGCCGTCGCCGTCGCCGTCGCCGTCGCCGTCGACGTCGCCGTCGCCGTCGTCGCCGTCGCCGTCGCCGTCGTCGTCGTCGTCGTCGTCGTCGTCGTTTTCGTCGCCGTCGTCGCCGTCGCCGTCGTCGTCGTCGTCGTCGTCGAAGTCGTCGTCTCGTTTCCCCATGATCATTGAAGGTTTTCGGTCGCTACCGAAGGCGTACGAATGCTAGGGGGCGGAGGAGGAGGCGAATGATGATGAGGAGGGGAGGAGGAGGTGGAAGAGGAGGAGGTGGAGGAGGAAACGTTGCCTCCAGAGGTTTTCTCCTTTTCCTCTTCCTGCGCCCCTCTGCTCCTTCGGTTGCTCTGTCGGCCCGTCGTTGTTGTCGCACCATTCGGCTGCCGTCAATTGTTCGTCACGTCTCCTTGTTCGTCTCCACCAATCCTCCCCCACTTCACCTTCTCACCCTTTCCTCGTCCTCCCCTTCCCCCCTCTTCCTCTTTCTCCCCACCTCTCTCTCTCTCTCCTCTTTTTCCTCCTCCTCCTCCTCCTCCTCCTCCTCCTCCTCCTCCTCCTCCTCCTCCTCTTCTCCACTCAGAATCCGCCCCCCAGACCCCTCCATCGGCGCCTTCTATTAGGAATCCCGACACGGATCCAGCTGTGGCGACGAGAAGCCTCCAGGAGGCCCGACGAGGGCGAAGAGCGCCCCAAAGCTTCGAGCCTCGACGTTCGACCCTCTTCCCACCTTTCTCCTCTAACGTGGCCGCTTGGTCTTCGGGCCATACCTCCGGCCGGACGACAGGGAGGGATTGGGAAAAGGGGGGTTACGAAATTTGCTGCATGCAGCTGGCTTCGGCCCCACCGAGGGGCCCATTCCTCGATGCATGGCCGCCTCTGGGAGGCGCCGGGAAAATCAGCTACGTGAGCCGATTCTCACCCCCCCCTTTGTCGGGAACTGGAACATATACATTTCCAGTGGCGGGCTGTTTTTCAATTCCCCCTTTGCTATCCCCCCCTTTAGCCCGGCCCGAACAACTCGGGACCCTGGCGGCCGTTCGAGGCGATATCTGGTCCCCCAACCTGGACCGCTCTCGGCGGGGCGCGGCTGCTGGAAGTCACCCCGGGGCCGGGGCATCGCCGAGAGCCGCCGGCCACGCCCGAGAGCGTGCCCCCGAGATCTGAGTCTCTATCGTTAAGTCCGGCCTGTCCCCCTATGGGGGGTATTTGTGGGTAGTTTTTAATATTTTTATGACATGTTTTTGGCACTGTGTATTTTTCGTCCAGAATCCCCCTGTAGGGGGACAGGCCCGACTGGACCCTACCGTTGCCCCTGAAATCTGGGTTGAGTAGGGCTAGGCTAGGAGTTTGGATGCAAATCCTGGGAAGTCAAATTCTGATTTTGGTTTTCCATCTGCTCTTCGTCAGGGTACACTGGGCTTCTTCGCTCCTCGCGCTGCGCGGTGACTTCCCGCGGCCGTTGAAGAAACTTCTTCGGTCAGGGTGCCCTGGGCTTCCCCCCAGTCGCACCTCTCGCGCGGGGTCTTCAGGGCTGGGTTTCTTGCGAGGGTTTCTTGCGGCCGCGTCCGCACTGTACATTTGCCTCTGAGATCTCGGTTGAGTAGGGCTAAGAGTCAGAGAGGGCCCGCCTCTGCAGGACCACCAAGAAGGGGACGTCAAGGGGTGCATCAGGGGAGGGCGTCAAGGGGGTGCATCAAGGGGGGACGTCGAGGGAGTGCATCAAGGGGGGCGGCTAAAGCACGCGGTGAAAGCGCGCAGAGTGGTTGCACCCCTTGACGCCCGTTCCTGGGTGTCAGCAGACTTGATTTTTGGCCCTACATAAGATCTGGGCCCCCCTTCTCCTCCTCCTTCTGCTCCGGGACGAAGAGTGGCATACACATAACAACTCGACGGTCCGCGCGGATTTCTCGGATCGGCGCTGGGGCCCCCTGGCGGCGCCTCGGGCGCCGCCCCTGGCGCCCTCCGCGCGCCAAGGAGGGGGGTCCAGCGCGGATCCAAGAAATCCGCGCGGACCTCCGAGTTTCTATGTTCATGTCATTTTTCGTTCCCCTAGTTCTGGTACCGCTCTCCTGGGGATGGCACTCCTGATGACGACGCGGGCCGCCCTGACGATCCTCATGATGCAGGCAGAGCTCGTGGCCCTGGCTCAGGCGGCGATGGCCGGCGTCGTGGGCGATCCCCTCAGGAGGAACAAGCGGGTGGAGGCGATCCCTGGCCTGCTCCTGATGGCATGGATGCATGGGCCGCTGCCGCAGCTGCTCAACGTGGTCCTCCTGCCAAGGCACCGCGGACACGTCATGGAAGACCTTGTGAGCTTCTTCCTCCGCCTGTGGTGCCACGCTTCCCCTTGCGCTGATGCGACGGAGTTCTTCCCCATTGGCGCTGAGTTCGAGGCCAGAACTGACATAGTGCTTTACAAGTTGGGTGTGTCGCCTGTGCGTGATGAGTGTCCTCCTTGGAAGACCTTCCTGGAGCTGATGCTTCTGGTGCGGGCGATGCTCCTGGATCTCCTGGTGCCAGTGGGTGTGGGGGTCTTCAGGGCGACGCTTTCCTTGGTTCTGCTGGTACGCCTGATGTCTTCGGAACCCCTCAGGAGGATGATGGGCTGAGCATAGACGGGCTGATGATGCTGTCAGGTCTCCGTGGGCCTTCGGTTGGCGACCCTCTGCCTCGTAGCGCTGGGCCCCCTGCTTGTGATGCGCACGTATCCCGTCACACTGTTTCTGGTGGCAGCCATGGTGCCCAGCCATCTCACCACGACACCGTTGGGGCCTCGCGGTGATGCTACGATCGGGAGCATGACCGAGATGTTCGCTCAGCTGGAACGCTTTCAACGGGACTGAGCGGCGAACGTTCTTTGACGGCCTGATCCTCGTGATGAGCTGCCTGTTGTACCTCGTCCTGTTCGTCGGGAGATCATTTTTCCCTCGGATGGGTCTGGATATTGGCCATGCTGCGATGAACCGAGTATCGGGAGTCCCTGCGTGCAGTATGGTTGGCCACTGCATCTGTTCCTCAACAAGGTGTGCAGTCACGGAGGGCGAGTTCATAGGCCGAGTTGGACGTATTTTCGCGGTCGCCGATATTGACGTGGAGCTCCAGGTGCACTGTGATGGGGCTTGTTCGGTGGTTCGTGCTTTTGATGTCCTCGATAGTCACGATCTTGCTTTCACTCTCGAGCGTCTCTGCTATATAGTTCAGGCACCGCCTCCTGCAAATAAGTCAGACACGTTCGCCTTCTCGCTATTGGTGTGTGTGTGTTTTGTTTCCAGCAGGTTCGTCTTCATGCAGTGGTGGGCGTCTCTTGGTACACCCCAAACACGGTCTCCTTCCTGCACTAGCGTAACTGTTATGCTGCAGCGGGTTCCTCGCCAGGGCCGCCGTGCCGCATGCGGCCTGCTGGGTTCTCCAGGCTCGTCCCCTGCCTGCTTCTCGTCAGCGTGGGGCCAGCTCTTCGTTGCCGCGGAGCGCAGGGGAGGACCTTTGGGCACCGCACTGGTCGACGCGAGCGCCATGTGCGTAGGGGCCGGGGGGGGGGAGCAGACAACAAAACAACAATCGTCCTCCTCCTCCTCCTCCTACTCCTCCTACCCCTTCTCCTCCTCCTCCTCCTCCTCCTCCTCCTCCTCCTCCTCCTCCTCCCCCTTCCCCCTTCTCCCCCTCCTCCTCCTCCCCTCCTCCTCCTCCTCCTCCTCCTCCTCCTCCTCCTCCTCCTCCTCCTCCTCCTCTCCTCCTCCCCCTCCTCCTCCTCTTTTTTGACAACAACGCACATGCCCCTGAAGAATTCGAAGAAGACCATGCCGAAGACCAGGTAGAAGACCAACCAAGTGTACGACAAGCCCTCCTCCGACTGGCTACCACCACATCCCAGAGGCGCAGATGAAGAGGCAGCGACCGTGCAGGGAACCACAAAAAAGGTAAGCAGGGTGCACCCACGCTTCACGACAGACACCGAGAGCTCGATCGTGTAGGCCAGCTGCTGAATGCCCGCATGCCAGTAAGCCACATACAGCAAACAATACGCCAGGACGCCACACTCAGCACATCACACATTAGCAAGCCCCAATCCCACGAAAAAATAATGACAAAGCCACCGAGACCTGCGAGAATAACAGAAGCACAATGCTGTAGTATATCCGCTGCACGACTCAAAAAATTGTTCCAGCCACTCGTAGCAGGTACCCTCAGCCAAAGAGGCGCCCTTCGCCAGGGTCAGGGGGAAGGTCAACTGGGAGCCAAGCGAAGCGATCGAGCCGTTGGCGACGACGAACAAACGGCTGATCACATCTCCCCGATCTCTCCCGCGCCCAAGCGGCGACTCCCAGGTCGTACAGCTCGGAGTGCAGCTGCTCTAGCGGCACGAACGGGGCCACCTCCACGAGCGGCGGCGCCTCCGAGACAAAGATGGGATCCAGCTTAGCCTCCTGCATCTCGCTCTTCACGCACGTGCTGACCCCGACGTCGTGCCTGATGGTGTGTGGCTCGAGCAGCGCCTCCCAATTCTCGCATGGCTGCGGCACGTCCGCACTGCAGGACGAGAAGACTGTGGCACCGCACGTGCATCTGACGCCTGCGGCGTCCAGCCTCTCCCAGCTGCCCGCACCAGGAACGAGATCAGGAGCCTCCGCGAGCAAACAAGAAGACGCCGCCGAGGACTGCGAGCCTACAGAGCCGCGGCGCGCCCTCCTCCTCCGCGTCGAACGCCTGGCAGGGGCAGCCAGCTTCTCAGGGCCCAAGCGCGGCCCGCGCTGAGCAGCACGCAAGGCGGCGGCATCCGCGAGCACCAGCGACGGCACTCCATCGGCGGCGGAGTGGAGCGCGACGTTTCTCCGCACCTGGTCGAGCCAAGGCGGCTCCACTCCTTGAACGAGAGCGGCGAGGGCAGGGATGATGGCCTGAACTCTGTCGGCCACGCCGTGCACGCCGACCACCATGTCCAGGGCGGCCTCCAGCTCCGCAGCCCGCGCGAGCGCCGCAGCGACGCCGGCATCCGCGGCAGCCTCGGCACGCCGTCGCGCGGCGGTGCGCTCGGCCCGCGTCCGCGCACGCCAATGCGAACCGGGATCGCCAAGCGGCGGCGACCCCTCCCGCGCCATCCCCTCCTCCTCCTCCTTCTCCCCCTCCTCCTCCTCCTCCTCCTCCTTCTCCTCTTCCTCCTCCTCCTCCTCCTTCTCCTTCTCATCCTCCTCCTCCTTCTTCTTCCCACCTCCTCCTTCCCCTCTCCTCCTCCCCCTCCTCCTCCTCCTCCTCCTCCTCCTCCTCCTCCTCAGCATCATCATCATCATCTTCCTCTTCCTCTTCCTATTCCTTTTCCTGTTCCTCTTCCTTTTCTCCTCTTTCGCTTTCGCGCAGACCATGAGGGCGATTCGCCCGCGGCGTCATCCCCCTCCTCCCCCTTTCGCCCTCCTCCTTCCTCCTCCTCCTCCTCCTCCTCCTCCTCCTCCTCCTCCTCCTCCTCCTCCGCCTCTTCCTCCTCCTCCTCCTCCTCCTCCTCCTCCTCCTCCCCTCCTTCTCCTCCTCCTCCTTCTCCTCCTCCTCATCCTCCTCCTCCTCCCGCCTGCGCCTCCGCCTCCGCCTCTCTCCTCCTTCTCTCTCCTCTTTTCTCCTCCTCATTTCTCCTCCTCCTCCTCCTCCTCCTCCTCCTCCTCCTCCTCCTCCTCCTCCCCCACCCATCCTACTCCACCATTGTTCCCCTTATGAGTAACTCCTCCCTGTAGCACCCCGAGGCTGGTCGTAAGGGCGGGCCCGGCGTTTCGCCTGACATTTCTTTACCGCTTATGGTCCTGCAGCTTAGACGCTGGGGAGCGGAAGTCCACGCGGACCTGCCGAGACCTCGCGGCTCCTTGCGGGGTGTGAACTGCGCAATTGTTGCCATTTTTGTGGGCTCCTAGCCCAATTGTCGAAATTATTGTGGGCTGCTGGGCGGTCCAGCGGAGTGGAAGTCAACGTGAACTCGCGAGACCTCGCGGCCCCCTGCGCGGTTGCGAACCGTGCAATTGTCGCCAGTTTTGTGGGCTACTGGGGGATCCAGCAGAAAGGAGGTCCACGCAGACTCAGCCTAGACCTCGTGGGCCCTGGGGGGCTGCGAACCGCGCAACTGGCGTTCATTTCGCGGGTTCTTAGCAGATCCAGAGGAGCGGAGGTCCACGCGGATCCGGCCTAGACCTTGTGGCTCCCTGGGGGGCTGCGAGAAGCGCGTCTTTCACCATGCGGTCCTGACTATAGCTGCCCCATCTTAGAAAAGAGTTGGGTACGTCACTGGGTAATTTGTTTGAAGGCGGGTGGTCTTCAAATGTGGCTCTCGCCGTAGCGCCGCGCACATTCTTTTTACACATGCGGAAGTTTCACGGATTGAGGGCCGGTAGTTTTCAACATGTGGTTCTCGTTTCCGCACCGCGCACACTTTGTTTCAAACATCTGCAATCGTTTCACGGATTGAGGGCGGCCCTTTTGTTTCCAAACGATTCAGGATTGTCAGGGCGCAACAGTTACGTTCTATCACGGTGTTGAAGTTCCAGGAGTCGTGTTCTGGCACGGTTCAGGATCGTCAAGACGCAACAGTGAGGTTGACACGTGGCGTTGAAGTCTTAAGAATGGTGTGCTTGCACGCTACAGGATTTTCGCACGGTTGTCTCCCAACGGGGCACGTCCCTCGGTGGGAGTGGATTATTCTACGGGGCCTATGCGGAGGGAGCTTGGAGAGAGGGTGTGTCCCAACATCGTTGATGGATCTTGGATTTGCATGGGTCCCCCCTCCTCTCCCCTCCTCTCCTCCTCCTCTCTGCCCGCCGCCCCTCCCCCCCCGCGCGGAGGAGGGCAGGGCTGGCGCTTGGCCGCGGCCGGCGGGGCCGCAGAGCGGGCCCGCCGCCCGCCGCGGCGAGGGCGGCCTCGCGCAGGCGACGGCGCCGCTGCCCGTCGCGGCCGTCCCGGGGAGGCCCTGGCGCCGCCGAGTCGGGCGCTGCGTAATGGTCAGGGGACGGCCTGATCGACCCCTGGCCCTAGCAAAACATCCGGGGGGGGACACAAACACAGACACAAGAAGTCGTCGACTCCCAAGAAGAAGGTGCGGAGAGTATGGCAAGTGGAGGAGGAGACCAACATCCAGGAACTACTGAATCTATGCATCATCCTGAGAGCGGCCAGCACCGTCGACCCTGAAGGCGGGACCTCCCCCGGGACCCTGGGCTTCCCCCCCGGGACCCTGGGGCCGGGGCTGACGAGGCCGGGGCCGGGACCAGGGCCAGCCCCCTCCCACAGGGGGGAACCTCTCGCTGTCCCCCCTTTCCACAGGTGGGACCACCCCACGGGACCACCGGGGGGCGGTACTCTGACCCGGGACCCCCCCCCTATCCCACCCCACCTTGGGTCAGGGAAGGAAACTTGGGAAGGGAATCTTCTCATTTCTCTGGTCGTTCCCCAATTTTCTTGGGACTGGCGGCGACGACGACGACGACGACAGCGTCTCATACACACACGGACACCGAAGTGTCCGTGGATTTGTATATCCCTGGGCCCCGTGGAACCATCCCCTTCAGTGACGTGCCCCCCGCCTTGACCCGAGGCGTAGGTGCGCGGCTGAAGGGAAGCTTGAGAGGCGAGGGTGACGTCACGGAAGGGGACGGCTTGCTAGGGGTCGGCTGCAGGCCGCGCCCGAAATCAGCTGAGGGGGCGGGAATGATCGCATTCGATCGGGCTCTTGCTTGTTTGGCTTACAAGTTAGAGCAGTATGGGCTAGATCATTCTAGATCGTGAAGCCACCGGGAGAGAGAGAGAGAGAGAGAGAGAGAGTGGAGAGAGAGAGAGAGAGCGAGAAACAACAAAAGCAAACAAAAACAAATGGAGGGGAAAGGTGCACCTCTTTCGTGCCTTAATAGAGCCCTCAGTGGGCCCCATTAAGGCACGAAAAGGACACGAAAGGTGCACGTTTTCCCACCTCCCATTGATCGCCCCCCCCCCCACTAATCAACGCCAAGCCGAGGCCCTCGAGGTTCGAGGTTTTCGAGGTTCGAGTTTTTCGCATAGCTTCGTCGTTTCTCAGCGGTCTTCAGCCTCGGGATGCGTTGCAGCAGCTGCGCTTCGCCGAGAGCGTTCTCGGGGTGCCCAGATCGTCCCGAACGGCCGCCTGAGGCCAGAGTTTTGGACAGCCAAGCCCGAGTCGTGGGCAACGTGAGGGCAACGTCACTCTGACTGCGGATGTGCAGCATTTTGGGTGATTTCGCCAGTAGGGCGGAAATGCCCGCCATACTTTTCAGGCTCCTTTGATGCCGATTTCCGCTCTGCTTTGCCGTCGTTGTTGCCGCCATATTCTTGCTGGAATATTTGCCTCATTGTTGCCAAGGCTTTACGGCCGGTGCCGCCGACCCTGAAGGGAGACGCGGAGGAGGAGGAAGAGGAGGAGGACGACGACGACCGGCAGCGGCGGCGACGACGATGACGGTGACGTGGGTCAGAGGCCTTTTGGGGGCACTTTTGGGGCCTTTAGGGCGAAATTGCTGATAGGAGCAAGCTTTCCCGCTCCTTCCCCTCCCACGCCCACCCCTCTCTGCTCGACCACCTGTTTATGAGGTCGTAATCGTATGACGGCGGCTGGATTTCGGTTCAAGATCGGAGTGCCTTAAGCGTCCTGTTGGATATTGAATTGTTGACTTTACGGCAGTGTGACCGACTGCTGGAGGACAAAAACACCAACATCATATTGCCATTGATATTCTTGTCGTTGACTTCGTTAGCGTCGAGGTATATATCGATGGAAACGGGGCAACTAGTCTACCCATTACTTGGGTGAAACCGCAAGGTTCGCCCTAGAAGGGAAGCATTCGGACTCAGAGACCAGCATACATATTTGTTTCAAAAGACCACGTCGTCTGATTCAGCCTGGAGCTGCCCTGGGAAACGTTTGCAACACTCATTTGGTTGACGTCATCCTCGACGATCCACGTTATCGATTAACCGCTGGTCAGTTGCATCAGTCAGTAATATAGACGGGTTTCCGACGACAGTAACAGTAGGAAAAAGAAAGGCACGATGATGAGTAGTGATTCTGAATCTTCCGACGACCACGAGACTGCGGCCCGTCGGGAAAGACCGTCCAAAGAGCGCGAATCAGTTCGAGGAACATGTGGTGAAGAATCCGGGTAAGCAGGACAAATTGATGAAAAGAGGAAGGGCGCGGGGCCAGAGGGCGAGGGGGCGAGGGCCGCGGGCCAAACCCAATCGAAGGCGGGCGCAGGAAGTCGTGATGATGTTGAACCTGAAGACGCGCTTTGGAAGCCGGAGGGCTTGAGAGTGGCGGGCGGGAGGGCCCGCCTGAAAGACAGCCTCAGGATAGGAGTGTTACGAAGAGATTGGGGCCGCGGCCAGGTGATTCGGAAGGGCGAGTCGAGCTTTCCGATGTCGATGGTGACGATGCGCAGGGGGTGATTGATGAATTTGAAGATCTGACGTTCTTCTGTGCCAGATGCTGGGGCAGAAACTGCGACGCCTCGGAGGCCGAGCGCGAGGCAGGTCGCCGGAGGACCTCCCCGCGCGGAAGGAAAGGGGCGCACCTGCAGGGGGCTGGTTTCTGATCCTTGGGCAGAACGGCGCCGAGAAGCCGTCCGAGGAGACCTCCAGACCGCCCGAGCGACCCGATGCAGGGCGGGAGAGGTACGTTTCGCGAACGGCGGCTCAACCGTCAGCGATCGGGCAGTCTCTGGCCGCCGCGGGGGAGACATGCCTAAGAGCGCAGGGCCAGGCGTTTGTCGACCTGGGTGCGATCGGCCGACCCGCGGCAGAGAGCTCGACCTTTGCAGCGGCGGGCCCAGCGGTGGACGGAGCAGGATGACGGCCGCTGAGCGTTCCCGTGAGGATTTTCACCACAGCCAAAATGAGCTACGAACTACGAGGCTTATTGCGGAATGGACCCCAACGCGGCAGAATCTGAGGACGTGCGAAGAGTGCGCTTGGGATGGCTGGATTGGCTCGGAAATGAGGGGGTCCCACTTGCATTGGTCTCGTCAAAGAGCGTTCGCCGTCGCATCGTCGACTTTGCGTGGCTGGTGCGGTGCGTCCATCTATCTACGTGTGCCCCTAGGCGCCGTCGCATCGATGCGTCGGCGAAATTTATGTCTATCATCTTCCCCCAGGGCGCCGTCGCGCCCTCGGCATGGCTCGGATGGTGGCTTTCATCTATCTACCTGCGCCGCGCCCGGTCGCCGTCGCACGGGTTCAGATGTGCATTCGGTTTTTGTCGTTTTGCGCATCTATCTACCCGGCCCCGCGCGCCGTCGCGCCAGCTTGTCCGCGCATTTATGCGGCCACCCCTCACATGTCCCCCAGCACGTGCGGTTTTCCGCGTGGGGCTTCCATGGGCTTCCTGTGAGGTGCCCCGGAGGGAAAACCGCATGGGCAATTGTCAGTTGATTCTCCATTATGTGCTCGCGGGAATGTGGGGGTCCAGGGGCGGATATTGAATGGTTGGATTTACGGCAGTGTGCCCGACCGTCGGAAGACAAAACGTGTGCATCATATTGTGATTGATTTTGTTGTCGTTGATCTCGTTGGTGTCGAAGTATACTGCGATGCAACCGTGGGTGATCTATCATTTGCCTGGGCGAAGCCGCAAGGCTCGCCCTAGAAGGGAGGTTCCGGATTTAGAAACTGGACTAAGGATTTGTTCCAGAAGACCATTTAGTCTGATTTACGGGAGCCTCTTGGGAGCCTCTCGTGGGCCTCTTGGGGGGCCTCGTGGGGCCTCCTTGGAGCTTCGCGGGGCCGAGGACTCGAAATGCTCGTTCTGGTCCCCCGTCTGGGCGCCCTTTTGGAGTTTTTGTTGGGTGCCTCTTGAGCTGTCTTGGATGCCTCTTGGGCCGTCTTGGGGCCATGTTGGGTCGTTTTGGGGCCTTTGTGGATGACTCCTGGGCCGTCGTGGGGCGATCTTCGGGGCCGAGTTGGAGCGTCGGAAAGCTGGAAAGGCGTATACACCAAAATCTGTCAGATTTTTTTAGAAACGTCCATGAAGTTTGGGTCTTGGGGCCCTGTGGTGAGTGAGGTCATTGGGCGTCTTGGAGGCCTCTTGTGCCGTCTGGGGGCTATCTTGGGATTCAGGTCGTTCGGCGATGCGGGGCCCTCTTGGGCAGTTTTGGGGGCACCTCTTGGTGCACGCTTGGCCCGTCTTGGGTTTTCCTTGGGCTCCTGGATCCCCGCGCCCCACTAAGCAGAGAACGGGATTAAACGGAAGGAACTTCTCTTCGATTCAAGTACGACGTTGCTCAATCTATTTTTGCTGGCGCGCTTGAGGAGCAGGGCCCAGGGAAGGGGGGGTGGAGCGGCGACGACGACGACGACAGCGAAAAATCCCTTGCACATGCCGATAAGGTCGGCGACTTGTCTTGAGGCGGACATTTCCGCCCCATGTTCTCGCATCGTTTGGGGTGATTTCCCCACGTACATTCAAGTCGTAAATTCACTTGGGTACGGCGGATCTCAATTCAGGGGTGGCGGAAGAGCCCCAACACATCGGCGGCGAGCCCAGGGGGGAAGTCAGAGGGGGCGGGCCTTTTTGAGAAAGCTCGGGAGGTCTCTGAAGCTTTCTAAGCCTTCTCTGAAGGCAGAGGCGGCTTCTCAGAAGACCAGAGGGTTTCTGAGAAGCCCCGCCGCCTTCTGAGAAGGCCTTCCCCCTCTCACTTCCCCCCTGGGGTCGCCGCTAAAACCTCCTGATTGGCGGTTCTCGGCAGTTTTTGGCCCACGGGGCCCCGGCATCGCCAGAAACTGGTTCGGGAATGGAGAATCGGTCCCGGTGGGACGGGCCTATATTTCCAGGGGCGCGCCGACCAGGCGGCGCCCCAGGGAGGAACACGACGGGTTGGAAGCAGGGGCGGAGGATCGGAGGAGCCATGGGTGTGGATATCATGGCCGGGGCCATGACAATCTCCCCGAATTTCATGGCCCCTTTTTCTTTCAATACGTCCCCTGTTGCCCCCTTCCTCCGCGCACGTGCCTCGGATCACGATGCTCGGAACACTTTGAGGGGCGCCCCCCTTTGGACCCACCCGCTCCTCCAGGGGGGGCAGCAGAACCTCGCTCAAGAGGAGGCTCAGGGGAGGACGAGGTGTGCCGATACCACCGTACGCTTCCCTCGACGCCACGGCCGGATTCACTTCAAAATTCTAACCAGAACGCACACCAGGAGGCGCCCGTGGGCGAGGAGGGGCGGCAGGCGCGCGAGGGGGAGAAGTGAGAAGGGGCGGGCCTTTTCAGAAGGCTCGGAAGCCCGGTGGCCTTCCGAGAAGTGTGCTGAGCCCTCCCCGAAGAGACGGAACATTTTTCAGGAGGCCCGAGGGTTTCCGAGAAATCCCGCCGCTTTCTGAGCAGGCCTCCTCCTCCTCGCTTCCCCCCCCCCTCGCTCGCCGCCGGGCTGGGAAGGCCATCTCCTTCTCGCTTCCCTCCCTCGCTCGCCGCCGGGCCTGGGGCGCGGGGGGTCGAGCGAGCAAACCTGTCGCCCGTGGGCGAGGCGCCCAGAGGGCCTCCCCGCCCGTCGTCGGTAGCGCCAGCGGGCCGCCGCGCACGGCCCCCGCGGAGCCCGACGCCCCCGCGGGAGCGCCGGGCGGTCTCCGATGGCCCGACGTGCTCGGCAAGGCCTCGCCCGTCGTCGCCGTCGCCGTCGTTGTCGTCGCCGTCGTGATCGTCGTCGCTGTCGCCGTCGCCATCGTCGTCGTCGTCGTCGTCGTCGTCCTCCTCGTCGTCGTCGTCGTCGCCGCCGTCGTCGTCGTCGCCGCCGTCGGTGTCGCCGCCGCCGCAGCCGCCGCCCTCGGATCGGCACGATCGCAGCGGGTCGTCGTTGTCCTCGTTCGGGACAGCCGGCAAGAGTCACGGCGTGCAGTTTTGTTTGCGTTTTCGGCCTCGTGGGCCCTCGCCAGGCCTTGTGACCGTCAGAAAAGACGGAAGGCGGGCACCGGGGAACGGGTCTAGACCTTTGGGGGGTTATGCTGCGGAAAAAAGCCATGTTTCTGGGGATAGCCATCAGTTCATGCCAGTCTTGGAGCCGGCTGGGGGGTTAGTGGCCCAGCTTTGGTTCCGGCCCCCATGTGCCCCCTCCCAGGGATCTCGGCCCCAGATCGTTCTCAGTGCGCGACTCCCCCACCCCTGATTTGGTGGATTTCCCTACGGAAGTGCACCCAAGACGACGCGAAAAAGAAGGGTGGATATTTCCGCCTCAGAAAGGAGGGCGGGGCTATTCCCGCAAGAGCATGCCAGCAACATCGACGGCAAAGTACATAGCGCACATCGACATCAAAGGAGCTTGCAAAGTAGGGCGGATGCTCACGCCCTACTTACAAACTCGCCCAAGGCACGGTGGATCCGAAGTCAGGCCCCCACCTCTAGGGCTCGTTTCGATCCCTCCGATTCGATTCGACACGATTTCGATGGCCTCCGATTCCGATTCCATTCGACGCCAGATTCCTGTCTGCCTCCCGATCTCTCTGTGGAGACTTGCTGGCCTGCCAACTTCCCCGATCCGTTTCCTCCCGCCTCGGCTCCGATCTCCTGCCGACCCGCTCCATGCCGACCGCCGATCCGACTCGTCGATTCGCTGGTAGGGCTCGCCTGCCCCCACGCCTCTCGTCCGCTCGGGACGATCTCGGGCACAGGGAGCGCTCGGCCTGGAACTTCGACGAGGCGCAGCTGCCGGAACGCATCCCGAGGGTGGAAGGCCGCCGAGAACCGACGAGAGCCTCCGAACGCCTTGCACACCTCGCACCCCGAGGGCCTCGGCTGGGCGCTCCCAGCCATCCGGCTGCTCCAATTTTCCGGATGCGTGGGCCCCGGAGGTCCTGACCGACTTCCCCGGGGCCGGTTTTTCGTCCCAAGTTGTTTTTCTCTGACCTTCAAGCCCCCAGAAGCGCCCAACAGGGCCTCAGGACAGCCCTAAGAGGGCCCCACGACGGCTGGAGGCGCCTCGACAAAGCGGCACAGGATCAAACGGACAATACGGGAACCAGCAGAATGCGTCCTATAGGCATCCTCTTCTTCGTCTTTCTCTGTCTCGCAATTCACGCCCACTTGTCCTCCAAGGTCGGGGTTCGTGACAATATCAGGTTTCTCCCCGACCTTGAGGGGTTCCCGTTGTGTGTTCCCCTGGGGGGTCCGGGGGGGACCCCCCAGGACCTGGCCCCGACCACGGGCGGAACGCCGGCAGAAGCCGGCAGCCCCAAGGATGCCTCAGATACAGTCAACCATGATAGTAAGGATGGGGCGACTTGGCAAGGGTACCCTTGCATCCTTGCCCCTTCGGCCCATCCTTGCCAACTTTCGCTGGCCAGCCCTTCAGGGTACCCTTGCTGCTGCTGCCAGGGTACCCCTGCATCCTTCGGAACGCCCCATGTCGGTTTCCTCCGCGCCCGAGACGGCCCAAGAGCCTCCAAGGCCGCTCCAAGACAGCCCAAGACGCCCCCAAGAGGTCCCCAAGACGGTCCGATACCTTTTCAAGACAACCGACGAGGGCTCCAAGGCTGCCTCAGGTAGGCCCCAGGGAGCCCCACAGGGCTCCCAAACCCCCAGAGGGTCCCAGGAAGCCTCCCAAGGAGCCCTCACGGCTCCACACTGCCTAAGTGAATGCCCGGGAGAACCCCCAAAGCGTCCCAAGAGGCCTCCGAGGTGACCTCCAAGAGGCTAACATCGTACAACTCTCGTTGGAAAACGCACGCTTTCACCGCATATGGTTTGTCGGTTTCCTCCGCGCCCGAGACGGCCCAAGAGGCCTCCAAGTTCGCTCCAAGGCGGCCCAACACGCCCCCAAGCGGACCCCGAGACGGTCGAAGACCACTCCAAGACAAACGATGAGGGCCCCAAGGCTGTCTGAGGTAGGCCCCACCGAGCCCCACAACGCTCCCAAGAAAAACCCTGGGGGTTCCAGGGAGCCTCTCAAAGAGCCATCAAGGCTCCAGACTGCCTAAATGAGGCCCTGGGAGACACCGAAAGCCTCGCGAGATGCCCCCAAGGTGACCTTCAAGAGGCCACCATCGTGTTATTCCCGGAGGAAAAACGCATAGTTCTACCGCATGCCCTTTGTCGGTTTCCTCCGCGTACTCGACGGCCCACGAGGCCTCCGAGTCCGCTCCAAGACGGCCCAAGACGCCCCCAAGAGGTCCCAAGACTGCCCAAGACCCTCCAGGACGATCGACGCGAGCCCCAAGGATGCCTCAGATACAGTCAACCATGATAGTAAGGATGGAACGACTTGGCAAGGGTACCCTTGCATCCTTGCCCCTTCGGCCCATCCTTGCCAACTTTCGCTGGCCAGCCCTTCAGGGTACCCTTGCTGCTGCTGCCAGGGTACCCCTGCATCCTTCGGAACGCCCCATGTCGGTTTCCTCCGCGCCCGAGACGGCCCAAGAGCCTCCAAGGCCGCTCCAAGACAGCCCAAGACGCCCCCAAGAGGTCCCCAAGACGGCCCAATACCTTTTCAAGACAACCGACGAGGGCTCCAAGGCTGCCTCAGGCAGGCCCCAGGGAGCCCCACAGGGCTCCCAATCCCCCAGAGGGTCCCAGGAAGCCTCCCAAGGAGCCCTCACGGCTCCACACTGCCTAAGTGAATGCCTGGGAGAACCCCCTTGGAGATAGTTTATCGGGTTGGCCTGTCAATTTGGTGATCCGCAACCGTTGGCTCTAATCAGCCGCGCGAGCCGGTGGTTCGCCCTTCCATGGAGTGGGCGAGGGCCGCCGCTGCTGGCGCCGGTGGCTTGGCACAACTGGGCAGCCTGTGGTACGGCCAGCGCTGTACTTGCCAGGTGGAGCTGGGAGACGGGTTCGCTGTGGACCGTGAGCTGCTGCGTCTGCTCGAGTGGCAGCTGCAGAGGTGCGGGCCCGCGAACCTCACGTTGCCGGCGCCGTGCCCGCCGCCCGAGTGCTCAGGCTTTCCTGGGCTGGTGGTCTTCTTGGTGGCGGTGCTGGCTTTCCCGGCAGGGTTCGCCGCTGCTGCCTCCTGTGGCTGGTGGTGCCTGAGGCGCTCGGAGTGTCGTGCCACGCCTGAGGGCTCAGGGACTCCTTGCCTGACCGACGGAGGCGATGTCAGATCAGCTTCGTCAGGGCCAGCGAGTGCTCGTCTCCTACGACGAGGACCCGCGTGAGCTGTTGTGGCATGAGCGCCTTCTGTGCGCGCACGTGCACGAGGGTTCCTGGGTGGTGACCACCCCCGAGAGAGACATGTACCTCGAGGACCTCCAGGAGGGCGTCGAGAGCCTGGTGTTGCTGGGTCCGATGGGAGGCCTGCCAATCGGCTGGAACCGTGGGCCCACGCACCTGTTCAGGAACTCGTCCCAGGGTCCGCTGCACCGTGAGGAGAGCCTGCGGCTCCAAGCGGAGGGCGCGGAGCTGGCCTTGCAGGAGAGGCGCGACCTGGGCCTGGCCGCTTCTCCGCCGCTGCCGCCGCCCACTGGCGCGCCCCCGCCGCTGGCTCTGGAGGGCGTGCCGAGCGCGGGCGAGGGAGGATGGCGGCACTCGGAGAACCGTGGAGGCGCTAGGCTGGGCGAGCGTGTCGGCGACGCGGAGCTGGAGGCAGGCTGCCAGCGAGGGGATCGTGGAGTGGCCCTCGTGGGCGACGTCTTCGTGTCCTGCGATTTCTTCAGGCCGGGCCAGCAGATGCCTACGCCTAGGGGGGGAGGAGCGGCTGAGCCTGCGTCCAACGAGCTGCGCGCCCTCCCCGTGAAGTACGAGACTGCCAGCCAGAGGCACCGCTCCTACAAGGAGGCGGCGTCGCTGACCACGACGACGGCCTTCGAGGACTGGCCGATCAGCGGCCCTAGGACGGCGGAGTGGCTGGCACGTGACATCGCTCGACAGGAGCTCACTCCCGTGCGCCGCCACTTCTGGTGGAGACAGCTGCTAGGCTTGGGCCCCAGTGACTGGGGCGTCGGGGAGCACGAGTCTTTGAGCCGGCTCTTCGAGTGCGCTCTGACTTACGACCAGCTAAACTTCGGGGAGCTTGCGTCGCTGGAGCTGGCGGGCAGGCGCTACCAGCTGCTCGAGGAGAGGTGCGCCCGCATGCTCATCGCGGCAACGGCGGGCGGCGACAGCGGCCACCTCGACAACGACAGGCTGTTCATGGGCGAGGAGGGCCGCCATGGCCGTGCTCTCGTGGCGCCTGCTCTAGAGTCCTGGATTCCCCGGAAGCTGTCCGAGGAGAGCGCGGTGCTCAAGGAGCGCCGCAAAGCGAAGGAGGAGCGGCAGCTGGCCCGCTCGACCGACGCTGCTCCAGGTGCCGGAAGCGGCAAGAACGACGAGAAGCCCCCCAGGCGCCCGAAGAAAAATAGTGGCGGGCCGGGGGGTGGCGCCGCTTGAGCTGCCACGGGCGGCGGAGGCCCCCGGCCGCCGCCCATTCTGCAGAGGGGAGGGCTGCCCGCGTGAGGAGGATGGCGGGCCGCCTCGGTGTTGCAGGTGAAGGCCTAGACTGGGCTCGGGGCTTGCTGCCTCTGCCATCTGGGCGCTGCCTGGCTGATCTCCTGGAGGGACTCTCGCCAGCTGGCCTGGGTGCGTCGCGCTGTGCGGATCGGCGGCGCTCGCGCCGACGGGCTGCAGAGGCGCGGCTGCAGGACGGCATCTCGACGCTCAACGTGCTGGGCGGCCACGGCGAGGAGTGG